GGGGACATTGGGAGAGTGGAGCATGGGCTCCACTGGGGAATGTCCTACTAATCACATGTATTTAAGCTGTAGAAACTTCAAAGATGTCCTGGGCAGGTGCAGAACAAACACAATTGTGTGCATTCACAGAGGCCACGAATTCAATAGTGTTATCTCAGCCATTTGCTAGACCTTTTGTACACATGGTGGGGCATGAATTGCAATGCAGATAAGCACAAAATCATGACTACAAAAGAACTACACAACTTTAATGTTTAAAATGAAGAAACTGAAATAGGGACTTTGTACATCTTGGTTCAATAATCAACCCAAATGGAGACCAGAGCCAAGAAGAAATCAGAAGACTGAGACTAGAAAGGTCAGCAATGAAGAAATTAGATAAGATCATCAAGTGTAAGGATGTGTCACTGAAGACCAAGACCAAGAATACCCATCTTGTATTTCCAATCACCATGTATGGGTGTGAAAGCTGGATAGTTAAGAATATTGTCAGGAAAAAAAAAGATCTGTTTGAAATGTGGTGCTGGAGGCGAACTTTGCAGATACCCTGGACTGTCAGAAAGACAAACAAGTGAATCCTAGATTGAATGAACCCTGTTCTATGTCTGGAGGCAAAATGTTGACAATAAGGCTATCATACTTTGGGCACATAATGAGAAGGCAGGATTCTCTGGAAAATAAAATAATGCTGGGAAAGGCTGAAGGCAGCAAGAAAGAGGAAGACCAAATATGAGATGGACTGTCTCCCTAAAGGACCCACAGGCTTTAATGTAAAAGAGCTGAGCAGGACTGTTGAGGACCTTTTGGAGATCACTCCTTCATAGAGTCACCATGAATCAGAAGTGACTTGATGGCACATAACAAGTGCTGCATTGATTGAATTTCTCCACAGTCACAGAAAATTTGTCCTGTATTCAAATAACCCCATTTTACTTTATTATTCTTTGATCTTCTTACTTCACTTGAAAGTCTATTAAGTGACTTCCAGATGGTCCATCTAGAATCTTGTCCTGGTGGGAAACACTCCAGCATTCATCCATTTGGCAAGGTGCATTGTTTTTGTTTTCCACAGGTTTAGCCTAGACTTTTCTGGTTTCATATTTAGACCTTGAGATATTTGCAGAAAGCGTTTCCTCAATTTTAGGTACAATCTAGGGGGTTGGCATCCATGAAATTGATGTGCTTTAGTGCTGAATTACCTTATTTCATTCATTATTTGCTAGCACCTCTCAATGTACTTCTAGAGGAGCAATGCCAATCAAATAATATATCTTTTCAATGCAATTCAGTTTCAGATAGCCAGTAACAATCCTGCATGATTCATTAAGAACTACATCCACTTGTTTGGCATGTGCTGATTTATACCATACAGAGCTAGTATATTCTGCTATGGAGTAACACAAGGACTTGTTGCTCTTATTTGTGGATGTGCACCACAGTCTGACCCAGTCAGTTTCTTAAGTACATTATTTCTGGTGACAATTTTCTGTTTTGTGTTTAGAAAATGTTATTTGTATGTCAGGGTTCAAACCAGCCCATCAGCTGTATTTAAGTTAAGGGAGCCCCATTGTTTTTGATGGTGCTAGCATTTTAAAATAATATTCCCACTTTTTTAAATTCAGGAACAAATAAATAATAATTGGGGGCAAAAAAGAGATTATAGAAAAAATGAAGGTAAACAACTTTTCAGAAAAACCCATTGCATAAACGAACAAAGCAAGCAGTCAAGAGAATATAAAATCTTAGACTCACATCATATATAATCCAGACCATATTCTGCCAAGTTTCTAGCTGAATCTCTAAGGCAATTTCATTCACTCAAAAAAGGGATTGCTATTTTAGCTTGCTTCTTAAAAAGAAAGGCCCTGCATGCTACAAGGTCTTCTACATAAAGTCCTACTCCACCACACCCTACAATAGGGTAGTGACTTGCTGCTCAAAGATGAGAAACACATTTATAGTGTCAGATATGTTCCATCAAAGACTCCCCAAGAGGAGATGGAAAGCCCAATAACAGAATGAGGTGGAACCAAACCTACATTTTGGTAGCAAAATGCCAAAAGGTGACATCATTCCTGCCTGTCCATCACAGAAGCTCAAGGGGGGGGAGCCAAGGATAGGGCAGGAGGGGCGGAGTTAGACAGTTAAAGAGACAGCTGGAGATGTGGAATGGCTGTTAGGGTTTAGAAGAGAGAAGGAGAGGGTTAGGGATTTGAGCTGAGAGTGTTAGGAGAGGGAACTGAGATAAAAGATATTGAACAAGCAAGAATGAAGTTACTAGTTCTGCCAGAGAGATATTGATTGAAAGTACATAGTAGTTGGAATAAAAGTAATATCATACATAATCCAATCTGTGTTAAAACCTGATACAGTTCTTAAGTGATTTTATATGATTTACCTTTATGATTTGTTTGACAAGAAAAGAATACTTAATTAAACCTCTGATTCCTAAGTTCTATAACCCTTAGTTTTGGCAGCAGACGGGTATAACATAATTGGTATTAGGAGAATACCTGGTGGCAGTGTGAAGGAAGAAGGGTGTGATCCCTTGTGAAGGCCAAATAAATAGGGACAACAAGGTAGGTCACCACAGTTTGGTTCCCTCACTGTTCCTCCAGTCAATGGAGAGAAAACACTCTGCTGTAGGAATCGAGAGATTCTATGAGATTTGCAAAGTCCCATGGCAATGCAGGTTCCAACACAGACTGCCACCATATAGAGGGTACAGAGCCAGTCTCTGTTGAAACTTGCCCTCCCATGGGGCTTTGTAAGTCTCAGAGACCTCTGGCAGTCCAGTAAAGGCACTTCTCACTGACCAGAGGAGTGGAGAGGAAACCAAATGCAGGTAGAGGAGCCATTCCATCGCATGCTGCTGTGGGGCCTTTACTCCCATCATTTGGCTTGGAAACTTGCTTCAGAATATTTTCCAGCCCTGTGGAGGGTTTTGGCTGGACAGTGGGCTGAAAGGGGAGAGAAAGAGGGAACTACCATTTATCAGTTCTGCTGACAAGCCGTTCTACCAGCAGAAGTGTCATATTGTATTTTGGTAATTGTACCATTTCTTCAGCCTCATTTCAAACTTGCCCCAAAGTCATTGTCCTTTTTAAACACCTTATGTCTAACTCTGCCTCCTTGTCAGGTCAGCTTGCTTGTTCTTGCTTGTGGGACAGATTGGATTCTTAGTCCTGTATCTCCAACATCTATCATGGTCTCACCTGGCTTGCTCTACATTCCTCAGTATCTGTTTGTAGCATCCCTACCTCCTCCTCTGATACTGAACCACATTTCTACACATTTTTCTGACTGGTCTATGTTGCTGTCATGTATACCTTCCCCTTCCAAATTCAGCTCAATAGTCCCATTTTTAAGTTAACAAACCATTCTTACTTTGTCTACTATCTGTTTCATCACCTAGACATGAATTTCATCATTATAAAATAAATATAGGGGACACGTACTGTACTTGCACTTTCTGAAGCTGATAAGTAGATCTTGATCTATGCAAGTTCACATTGAAATGAATGTCAATCTTTAAAGGGCTGTAATATTTTGCCTCCCCACCCCACCATACTTTTGCAATATCATGAAAAAGACTAACACAGCTACTTCTTCAAACCTGTGCTGAGGTTATTACTTCCCAGACCCAGGCACTAGCTACTCACAGGATCTTTGACTTCTCAAGGTTTAGCTTCAGTTTGCAGCCCATTTCTGAGTCTTTTACGCTCTTTTTAGAATCTCATAAAGAGCAGTCTATTGAGGTTTGGCAATACAGTAGGATCCCTGTATTCATGGTTTCATCATCGTTGTTTACTCGTTTAGTCATGTCTGACTCTTCGTGACCCCATGGACCAGAGCACACCAGGCCCTCCTATCTTCCACTGCCTCCCATAGTTGTGTCAATTTCATGTTGGTTACTTTGATGACACTGTCCAACCATCTCATCCTCTGTCGTCCCCTTCTCCTCTTGCCTTCACCCTTTCCCGACATCATGGTCTTTTCCAAGGACTCATCTCTTCTCATGAGATGGCGAAAGTACTGGAGCCTCAGCTTCAGGATCTGTTACCACATCCCTATTTACAACATACAAAGGCCTTGTTGCCTTTTCCCCACCACTTTGTGGCCTTTGTCCCACCCCCTTTTATGTTGTATACAGGGTTTGCTACTATCTGCAGTTCTGGCATTCATGGTAGATTATGGAATGGATCCCCCTGTAGATATGGGGGTTGTACTGTATAACATTATCTATGCTTTAGAATTTAATCATTATCAGCAGCACACTAGTTTAAAGCAGGTAACTAATCATCAACTTCAAAGTACAGTACTGAATGTACCCTACATGTTAGCACTATATGGTCTCTTGGTAAATCCTCATGAATGATATAATCAATGAATTATGAAGTAACATGCATCTCTAATGTATGAAATGTTATTTTCAAACTCTGAATAACTACAGTATTTCATTAATACACAAGTTATTGCTTCTTAAGATACAGTCCTCGCTTTTATGTATTTTGCCAGCAAACTCTGCAGTTTGAGCCACTACAATTGAAGTTGTTTACCTGCATTTTATACCTTGGAATATGCTCTTGATTACAAGAGGTAATACATACAATAATATGTATTTGTAATGGAGGTAATATGTGTGGTAATATATACATCAGACCATTTCTCACATGTGTTTAAAATATCAATATATTGTTTGAATGAGGTGGTAATATAATGGAAAACTATAGAAGGAAAGAGCTGAAACTGCAACTCAGAATATGTCAGGCAAAAACAAAACAAAAATTAAAAAATAAAGAAGACAAAAACATTGTAGCACCTTAAGGACTAACTGCTATATTTTAATATGAGCTTTCATATTTAAGTCCACTTGTACAGAATCTACCCAGAATAGTTCACATTAAATTTTTTTCATTTAGCTGGGATGTTGCAGAACAAATACTTTTTCAAAACATAACTAGAAAACTGAGATAGGTATTAAATTACAGTATATCTACCTTTAGCTGTAGCCCTTGTGAGAGCACTGTGTTTGCAGGAAGTTCTTTAATATGTTGGTAGACATATGAAGTGCATTGCTCCTGCTCAGCCCGTAACTGAGGGGCAAGTTGAGAGAGGTGACCTTTGTAGCTCTTGATGGCTGCCTGCAATTCATCAATCAACTTTTTCACCTGAAGGGTTAAATTATAAGAGCTGTTAGTATGAGACAATTGTTGATGTCACACCTATTAGAATTTTCATTACAAACCTGAAGGGAGAGATGACATTTGAGTGCAAAGTCTGACAGAAAATAAAGAATATATGTGTCTCCTTATCTCTCTGTGGAAAGAAATGTCCAAATTACACATACAGACATTAGCAGGACAACATAACTAAATCAATGATCCTCTGGTTTCTCCTAGTTAAAGATACTAAAATGTTTGTATGCAATAATTTTCCTCTAATTAAAATGTTTCATTCATTTTCTAAATAAAATTTTTTTGGTCGAGTGGATTCTTTAGAATAATTAGTACTAGCGATAGACTCTGGATACATGAGTACTCATAAATAAAATCTGATGCTTTAATTTGCTATACCTCCAGAAAAACCTCTAACTTTAACGAAACTCAGTGTTTTTATGAGAGAAGCCAAGTGAGAATTTAATAAAACGGTTAATTTGGGAAGCAGTTATTTAAAGAAGGAGCTAATCCCCAGTGATATGAAAATACTGAGGCAAGATCACAGGTCACAAATACTGTAGATCATATGCTTATCAGGGAAAGGTCCCAGGTCCAGTCAACCTCATCAAAAAGGACTGGGGAAGACTGAGAGGAACCAGACAAGAGCAACCAGAATACAGACAAAAAGAGATTACAGTTCTTAAACAGATACCATGGAGAATAAGATAGGTGAGGAAACAATATCAATTCTTGACTATTAAACTAAATGAAAAAGGGATAAATTTCAGATGGTTGGTACCAAAAGGGATTTTTGATCAACTGGAATTCAGGAAGATACAGACTGGACTCTATCCACAAAGCAAGCAAGTTTTATGACAGACATGCAAATGTATGGGAAGACGAATTGCAAAGATTTGAACAAGATGGAGAAAAAAGCAGAAAAGATATAGAAGGAGCGACTTCATCAAGCAAAGGAGAAGAAGAGAAAGAAGACACACTACAAGAAGTGACTAAAGAACAGAGAGAAAAGAGAAGCACTATGACAATAAATCCTAAATATAAATAAAGAAGATGGAGAATGAAATTGGAATCTTTTTGGTGAACATTAACGGCCTTAACTCTCCACCGAAAAGAAAAGAAAAACATTCTTGCGATTACAAAAAAACAGAAATGGATATAATTTACCTTCAAGAAACTCACATTAAAAAACAAAACCATAAATACTTGGAATACCCAAAGATTGGGAAACTTTATTATTCAGCAGCACAACAAAAGAAAAGAGAAGTCGCTTTATATATCAAAGAAAACCTGGATTCTAAACATATTTATTCAGATGAAGAAGGAAGAATCTTAATGGTAGAAGCATCAATAAACACCCAAAAGATATTGATGGTTGCAATATACACTCCTAACAACAAACAAGAAATTCTTTTATCAAAAATTATATAAGAAGAGACCTCTCTCCAAACTATCTGGGACACAGCCAAAGCTGTCTTTCGGGGAATAGCTACGACATAGATGGCCAAGAAAAATAAAGAAAAGAGACAACAATATACAAAACTAAAGGAAGAATATAAGAAATGGGAATTAGAATTATAAAAAGATTCACAGAAGGGAATATTCAAAAAACAAACAGAGTTATTAAAGCATAAAATAAACCTAATAGAGTCAGAAGGACTAGCACAACAAATTAAGAGAGCCAAACAAAAAAAAAATCGAAAATGCCAACAAACCAGGAAGATGGCTAGCAGAAAGACTGAGAAAAGAGAAATTCTAATTTCCTACCCTTTCTCCCTGCCTTTTTGCCTTCAAAGCTCTCAAAGGGCTTTCCGCCCAACATTGGAGGAAGCCCCTTGAGAGCTCTGGAGGTGCCGATCATGCCGGCAGGGACCCCCAGGGAGGTCCCCCATGGTGGCGGGCAAGCCCTGGGAGACCTCCCTGGGGGTCCCCACTGCTGCAATCGGCACCTTCAGAGGTCTCAAAGGGTTTCCCCCCCAGACATTACGTAACAATTACATAAAATTACTTAAAGAAATAAAAACAGACTTGGAAAAATGAAAGAACTTACAATTATCAACGTTAGGAAGGATAGCGACAATTAAAATGTATATCTAACCAAAATTACTTTTTTGTTGTTCCAAACAGTATCAATTAAAATAGAAAAGAAATACTTTGAGGATTTAAACAAGATGATTTTAAAGTTTATTTGGCAAGGGAAGAAGGCAAGAATTAAACTGAAAATGCTACAAGAATCTAAAGAAAAAGGAGGATTCAGACTACCGGACTGGGAGCTATATTACCAAGCATGTATTCTAGTCTGGCTTAAAGAATTGATCACTTTCAGGAATAAAAGACTGCTTTATCTAGAATAACATGATCTGCAATTGGGCTGGCATGCCTTTTTATGGTATGAGAAAGCCAAAACCCATAGATATTTTCAGTATCATTATATTAGAAACTCACTATTGACAATCTGGGAAAAGATAAAAAAGAAAATTTACATAAAAATACCTAGGTGGCTTTCGCCTATGGAAGCATTTGTGCATTCAAATCTCAGGAACTTTGAGGAAATTTTATGCTATAAAGATATACTAGAAACAGAAAGGAAATTAAAACCAAAGCAAGAGCTTATTGCTCAGGTATTAGGTTTGTCATGGTGGCCATTAATGCAAATTCAATCTAGATATGATAGATGTTAAATATGGCTTTTATAAATAACAAATACTGCTTATATTGTTAACCTCAGATGATAAACCATTTAAGAAACTATATAAACTGCTTTTGAATTCGAAAATAGAAGATGAACAGGTAAAAGAAACAATGGAACAATGGGCTAAAAATTTTGGGCACAATATTGAACTGAATAAATGGCAGAAATTGTGGAATAGAAATTGTAAAATAACAATCGCGACTTCCTATAAAGATAATCCTTATAAAATGTTATATAGATGGCACTTACTATCTGCCAGAATTGCAAAAATGTTTCCAAATATGTCTAGTAAACGTTGGAAATGCAAACAAAAAGTAGGTACCTATTATCATCTATGGTGGACATGTGAAAAAGAAAAAGGAATGGAGTAAAATACACACATGGTTGGTTAAAATGATTTTAAAATGTATAGATTTTAAACCAGAACTGTTTTAATTAGGCATTTTACCAGAGGACTTTGATAAACAATCGGTTTACCTAACATTGCATATTGTGACAGTAGCTTGGGTTGTATTTGCAGAAGAAATACCAACAGAAGAAGAGATAATTAAGAAGATTTTAGATTGTGCAGAAATGGAGAGACTCACACTGAGACTGAGAGAAAGAAGATTCAGAATACTTTAATACATGGAATTTGTTCTACAAATTGCTAGAAGATTGGAGAAGGGATTAAATCGCCAAGACGCAAAAAATAGATAATTATAAGCAAACCTATGTAACACGATGTTTAACAAACTCGAATTGAATATAGATATAGTGATAAACTAATAAAATGTTATTTTAAAAAAAGGACTGGGGAAGCCCCCTGTTTAACATGATGGAATGCTGCTGCCATTGTAAACACTGCTGAACTTAATGGAGCAATGATGTTTCCTAAATTAATCAGATAACCAAGTATTTTAATGACCTAAGTAAGGTATTAGAACTTTTTAAGTGGTTAAGGAGACTGAAGAGACACTGCTTGAATTCTCTATATCTGTCTTCACTGCAAAGTATATGAACTGATATGCCATTTCTGAGCTGTTATTTTCAGGAAGAGTCTGAAGAATTGAAGCACACTGGGGTGACAGGAGATGATATTCGAAACCTCACCAATAGACACTTATCAAATCATTGCGTCTCTTCAAGAGTTCATCTGAACTAAGAAAAAAAAAATAACTGGACTCTCAGATTGGCTGCTGTACCAAAGACTGAAAAATAGCCAAAGCAACACCAATTTTTAAAAGAAATCAGATGCAAGAAATAGCAGACTGGGAAGTTTAAGATCTATTTCTACCAAACTGGTGGGAGGCATTATTAAAGATAAAATTGTGAAGCATACAGAAGAATGGTTCTTGCTGAAGAAGAACTAACATGGTCTCTGGAAAGGTTACATCTTGTCTTGTTAAACCTTTAGAGAAGCCATTCTCAACCCTTTTTTTGTCCACAGTCATAAACACAATATGAAAGAAATACAGGCCTAATCAGGGCTGAAGTCACATAACAAATCTGATATGATAGTTTGTGAAGAACTGTTTGAATATGCCAGGGCCCCCATTGAGAACAACTGCTTTACAGCTCTCTGAGAGTGTCATCAACCATGAACTGGAGTGACACAGGGTTTACATGCAGGTTTTTGTTTGTTTGTTTTTAATGGAAGTCCTTCATCAAAGATTCTTAAAAGACCTGGCAGTCACAGGATAAAAAGGGACCTTCTTAGAGACTGGCAACTTGCTGAAAAATAGAAAGCAAAGAGTAGGAATAAATAAATTGCTCTTGCAATGGTAGGATGTTAAGAAAGGAGGGGTTTCCTCCAGATTTATATATAGAGCAGAGCTTATTAAAGCATCATAACTTGCCCTATGTATAGTGTGGTAAAGGTAAAGGTAAAGGTTCCCCTTGACAATTTTTGTCCAGTCGTGTCCGACTCTAGGGGGCGGCGCTCATCCCGCTCTTCAAGCCATAGAGCCAGCGTTTGTCCGAAGACAATTTTTCCGTGGTCACATGGCCAGTGTGATTTAGACACGGAACGCTGTTTACCTTCCCACCGAGATGGTACCTATTTATCTACTCGCATTTGCATGCTTTCGAACCGCTAGGTTGGCGGGAGCTGGGACAAGCAACGGGTGCTCACTCTGCCGCGTGGATTCGATCTTACGACTGCTTGGTCTTCTGACCCTGCAGCACAGGCTTCTGCGGTTTAGCCCGCAACGCCACCACGTCCCCATGTATAGTGTGGAGGAAGTAGAAAAAACAGTATTCTTATTTCCTCAGACTACAGGAGCATCTAGTGAAACTGAGGCCCTAGTCACATGAGCGGAAT